TTTCCTTTTTCCCTTCCTAGAAGAATGGACCTGATCGCATGTATTTCTTCCTCCGACCCCGACCGGATTCTCTCGCCCTTTCATCTTCTGCTTCCGGTTGCAAGTTTTCCCCCGGGATATTTTTTTCTCGCTACCCATGACCATGACTCCCATCAAAAGTTGTGATTTGAAGAGCCCAAAGGTGGAAGGCAATCAAAGAACTGAAAGACTTTCATGATTGGACATCTCTTATCGCCATGGCAACCGACATCTTCCACACGATTGGAAAATGATATGAGAAATTGCATGCGGGAAAAAAAAAGAACTCGGAACCATCATCGAGAGAATCTCAGCAGGGGAAAAGGTATTGATTACTTCCTGAAAGACCCTGAAGTCCTGAGCAACCCCGACGATTCGGCAACCGTGCTGATCTCCGATGAAACGAACCCCGACGCGAATCGGCAGGCGCCACGGATGCCAGATCGGATGAGGATGCTGACGGCTGGATGCGTTCATTGAGGGGGACGACTCTTGGCCGGATTCCGGTTATGTGCCGGATTCCAGAACCTGTGCACGTTCTCCTCTCCGGGGAGAAGTCCGTCCGTTTTCATCCGGGAAATTCTTCATCTATTTGCCTATTTCGTGCAGAGGCAGGGAAAATGTTTCGGCTGGAATAACGATTTTTGGGTTGGGATTCTCTGGTTTCCGCTCTGGGGAATTTTTTTTTCCTCCTTTTTATTTCCTGCGATGTCGACCGAAGATGCTAAGAAAAAAACTAGGCGGTACATGGTATTATTGGCAATGTTGAAATGCATTTTGCATCAAATTATTTTTCACGGTTGAAGCAGTTCTGATAAATTCGGGTTATCAGAGATACACAGGCGAAAACTGTAATAACGCGGCTTCATCGCGAATTTTCAGATAATTTCCCAAGCTCCAATCACAGCGAAGCGTTAAGGAATTCCTAAGTGAGCTCCGAAATTCATGGCGAGTCTCCTTCCCTCGCAATGAGGGTTAGGAAGCTTTCTTGCCCTCAATTGCCCTCATCGCGGTGACACCACTGCGCCTTGTGAATAACGTAGGCGCCAATCGAAGCGGGAATCGAATCAGGGCAGGGAGATGCAACAAAGGGATTTTTCTTTGCACCTCCCTTCGAGGATCGTGTCGGGAATGACAAAGGGATGAAGGGGCCTCACCCACAGGGACCTCATCCGCGGGGACCTCACTCGCAGGGGCCTCACCCGTTGGAATCTCACCTGCAGGAATCTCGCATGCAGGGGCCTCACCTACATGGATCTTGCATGCAGGGGCCTCATCCGCAGGGGCCTCGCACGCGGTGGGCCTCCAGGGACTGGGTGAGGCGGATGTCAACCGGGGTGACGGCCCGGAAGAGCACTGGGACTCGGTGCGGGTACTAAAACGGTTTCACACATGGGCTGAGTCGGTACGAGACGGGGGAAGAGCTTCATTGCATTGCATGACTCGCTTTCCGAGGGTTATCTTCGCTTTCCAAGGATTATCTTCGCTTTCCTCTCTCTCCCTCTCTCATCCTTTTCCCGTCTGATGCATTCGGAAGTGGCGTTAGGGCCTTGATGATTCGAAAGGGCGGGTGTGAGCGCTTCGGCTGCGCCTTTTCCTCTCAGCTCGAGCATGATCGATTCCTTATTTGCGATGAATTTTCATTTTGCGATTTTTTTTTGCAGATCCAAAGTTCACGACAGTGGCATTATCACCAATCGAAATCGAAAGCGAAGAAAATTTTTTTTATAAATTTACCTTGGGAAATGGAAAGTTTGAGTTCTGCGGTGCTGGCCTGTTGGCTCCTTGCCCTCGAGGTTTCGGTCCTGCCCTCGAGGTTTCGGTACTGCCCTCTAGGTTTCGGTACTGTCCTCGAGGTTTCGGTACTGCCCTCGAGGTTCCCAGTTGGGAAGTGAAGCGGCGTTTCTGCCCCCGTTTGCAGAACTTTTTCGGCTTCGTGCTGCTCGAATTGCTGGGTTTAAATTGCGCTCCGATATGTACAAAAAGGATTTAGTTTTCACGATACAAGATAATCGACTTCTCGAAATACCTTTTTTATTTATTTGTATTTATTTATATTTATATCCCCCCAATCCTTAAAAAAAAAACTCCTGGCAACTGCCTCGACGGCCTCAACTAACTCAAGATGGATGTACCGGAAATTCTAAAGAAAAAAAATATAAAGGAGTCGACGATGAAGATTTGGCACAGTCAAGGTGCAAAGAAGGAAAAGAGTTTCATTGAAAGAACTTCTCAACCAGAGTCACAAATAACTTTGACGCAGAAAAACAGGAATTTTTATTTATTTTCAAGTGTATGAAAAAAAAGTTTTGCCACGAGAATCCGTCTGTTTTCGTTTCGGATGAATAATTGATAAGATCGTGCAACAAGATGGGTCATAGGGATTCCTTTTAGCCGGTAAATAAATTGCTAAAACAATGCGAAAAATTTGATCGATGGAAGAAGCTGTTGGCGTCTTCCATGGAAAAGCCTGTACTTATTTTCAGTACTTGTTTAGTACCGTCAGGGACTGGGCGCGAGGGGAGTCAGTGATCGTGAGCGGTTCTCACGAAGGGTTTGATCTCACGTGAGCGTGAACGTGAGCAACGGCAGCAATTCCCAGTAATGCTTATTTGCTTTTCCATTTTGGAAGCAACCGCCAATAGGCGCCGCAAAAAAAACTCATTGGCGCCACAAATAAAACTCGTTGACCCAGGGTCGGACTGGCCCACCGGGATACCGGGGAATTTCCCGGGGGGGGGGGGCCCACCAGACCTGATAATAAAAAAATAATATGCTTGTGCATTGCGGTATTTATTACTGTCATAATTTTTAATAGATAATTACTATGTATCAACGTTGAATGATGGGTCTTGTTAATCTATCCCTGAATTTTCTCATGTACAGGGTGCCCCAAAAGCCACGCGATCCCGAACCTAAAAATGTATTACAAATGAATGAGGGCAGGTACAGCGACGAGGTTAGTCTTGTTTGGAAGCTTTCTGAATGCACAAAAAAATATAGATGAAATGAGATAGAAATTGCAGTAACAAATGAACACTCGATCCATTCCAGATGCATTTAAGATTTTCGGAAAATCATGTTCGTGTTTGGCACTGAAAGATCGAAAGTGATGTTGCGCTGAGAGGAGCGAAGGTTCTTCGGGGAACGCATCGTCGGCGAAGGAATGTGGCCTCCCAGGTCACCTGACCTGACGCCGTTCGATTTCTGGGGGATCCGAAGGGAAATGGGTACGGCGACAATGGGAATGGCGACAATGGGTACGGCGACAATGGGAATGGCGACAATGGGTACGGCGACGATCTGAGGGGGTCTTCCCTCCTTGCGGGGTGATGATGACATGGTCAGACACTTTCATCACGGCCTGTGACATCACTGGACTTTCGATCTTTCGGTGTCAAACACAGAAATGATTTTCCGAAAATCGGAAACGCATCTGGAATGGATTGAGCGCTTATTTGTGATTAATTTCTATCTCACATTATCGATTTTTTTTTTTGCATTCAAAAAGTGTTACTACAGCTTCCAAACAAGACTAGCCTCGTCACTGTGCCTTCCCTCATTCATTTATAATAAATTTTAGGTTCTGGGTCGCGTGACTGTTGGGACACCCTGTATATTCTTGGGAAAGGGGGGGAAGCCTTTCTTAGCAATTTCCCTGCATTGACGCCACAAGAAAACTCATTGACGGCCCAAGAAAACTCGTTGGCGCCGCTAAAAAAAAACTCATTGACGCCGCTGAAAAAACAAACCTCATTGAAACCACAAATGACAAGATGGCCATTTGCCAATTTTAAGTTCGGCAACGCGTGACGCTTCGTTCCGTTCAAATCCGAAACGAAATCGCCAAGCACCTCATGATGAACTCCGCTGTCAAATTTGAAACGGAGCAGAAAATGGTCGAGATATGAACCACTCCTTATGCTTGTGAAATTCGGTTTCGCCTTTTAATGTGCCTTTTATGGTGCCTTTGAAGGCCATCTTTACAAATTGCAGGGAAAAGCGGACAGGTTTGAGGGAACCTGTGGATCCGGTTTCGCTTCTCATCTGTCAACGCTGACCTTAAGACCTAAAGGTTTAAGGACCCCGTCGCGCACCTGTGGGTATCAGCGATGACCGCAGCCTCCAGTAGGTGCTGCCATCTCCCAACAAACAAAATAACTTTTTCAAGCCCCCGAAAAATAATTAGCAAAAATTTTTGCAACGAAAATTGAACAGAAAAATTTGCGAAGGAAAAAGAAGCATCTTTACAACGGAAGAGTGAGAACATTTTTTACAGAGGAAAAATACGCAAATTTTTTTGTAACTGAAAAAAATATAAAAAAAATTCAATTCCTGGAAAAGTCCCAGTCTGCACACTCCCTTTGATTGATGACGTGGTGTCTGGCGCCGGGGATTCCATCCCTTATTCGGCCTTGTTCGGCCGGTGCTGTCAAAATTCCCTCGTGCCGATCGTGTAATCCACTTTAATCGAGTGAGGCTTGTGGGAAATGGGAAACTTTCTGTACCAATCAGCGACAGAATCCCGGAACTTTCCCCACAACCCATCCACATCCACAACCACAACCACAACCACAACCACAACCCATCCAGATGGATCCCATCCGAGTGGCTCATACATCCTAATCAATCATCCGGATTAGATATGACATGGCCAATCGATATCGCGAGAAGCAGAAGGATCCACATCAAGGATCCACATTACGGATCCACAGCGAAAGATCCATAATAAGGATCCATAATAAGGATCCACAGCGAAGGCGAACGGGTCCATATCGAGCCGATCGCGTGACACGCAACGATCCGACTGCGTGTCACCTGAGTCATGCCTATTTATACGCGATTGTGAAACGAGATCTCGCGATTCGCATCTGCTTGGGGAATCCGTTGGTCCTTTATCGAGTGTCCTTTGTCCTTTGGCGAGGGTCCTTCGTTGGGGGTTCGTCGAGGCGGCGGAATCTTTCTCCGGGGAAATGGGGACCGAGCTGGCTGTTACGATGAAGGATAAGTACTGCCTCAGTACTGCCCCAGTACTTTCGTAGTACTTATCTTATGTAGTACTTATCTGTTAATCGCAACAGTATCTTTTTACGGCGGACCATTACGGCCAAGGTGGGGGCTTCATTTCCTCTCCGAGGGCCTCATCATATTTCCGCTCCATCAACTCTAATGAGCAGGTGGAGATGGAAGCGCGTTTCGAGGGGAAACATGTCTGAAACATGTCTGAAACGTGTCTGAAACGTGTCTGAGAAGTGTCGATGCGTAGTAGACATGTTTTAGACCGGAAAGGGTTGACTTTTTCTGTCGCTTGTCATACATGACAAGAATGTAATAAAGAAAAGAGGTTTATAAAAAGAGGTCGAGTAACTTTTTCATGTTGGCACGTTCAATTTTGGCGGCGGTTGAAATTTTCGCGGAATAAGTTGCCAAGGGGAATTTTGCAGGAGACGAAGGTGGCTGCTGGGTCGTGCAATTTTTTCAATTATAACGGAGATCATTCTGGTCGGTAGCCATATTCGCAACCGGTCGTGCGGAAAAAAATCTGCAGAAAAAATGCGTGCCAAATTGAAAATTCGCACCTCGTGCACATTCGTTTGAGGAGGAAATTTGCAAGAGGAAACGAGGTTTCACCCCTTGGATCTCTTCAATGAGTTTCTGCCCGAATGCAAATTGGGATCGTTACACGGTCATTTCCATTGCAAAGTTCCTCTTCTGCTTGCTAATTGAGGAAGGGAGACATCAAAAATCTTTTCCTCCATTTAACCGTGGCGGGGAGGAATATGATAATCGGGGATGATACGATTTTTCTTTTTAAGATGGTATTTTAATAAATTCGGGGTTTGGGTCCCGATATTGTTACGAATTCCGTATGGTAAAAAAAAGTTCGTTATTGTCCAAAAAAATGTATAGATTGTAAATGAAATTTGATTTTGTAAAAAATTTTATAGAAGAAATTCGATGGTATACAATGGTAAATAGGATGTTGTAAAAAAAAAAAAACATTACATTGTAAGAAAATTGGATATTGTAATGAACGCAGTACGGAGGAGCTGGGATTTCCGGAGTCGCGGCGGGAAATCCCCGGATTAGGGCGGATTTATGGACTAGGATATCGCGGAAGTGGAGGAGAGACTCCCACTTTACGCCAAGAAACCCGATAATCCCGGAAGAATGGGGCAAATGGGCAGATGGGCGGATGGGCAGGGGGAAGGGGGGCAGAAGGGGGGCAGGGGGGGGAGTTACTCGGTATTTAAGGTTACGGCCGGAGACGGTGGCGATTGCCGTAAAGCGTATGCACTTTCCACGTCGCTCCGGAAGTGGCAATTGCCGGACTCGTGGAAGTGGTAATTGCCGGACTCGTGGAAGTGGTAATTGCTGGTCTCGCCGGAGTGGTAATCTCTGGTCGAGGAAGTTTTTCTATCTCATTTCCCATATTTTGCGCGGAAATTTACGCGGGGGATTTCGCGTACTTGGCGAGGAGTGAAGTTCTCATCCTCTCAGGAAGATGGACAAACACTGGATTCCCCCCTTTTTTTTCAGGGATTCCCCCTTTTTTTTCAGGGATTCTCCCTTTCCTTCAGAGATTCTTATTCGTTCCTTCAAATTCAGAGATCCCGAAAAAGCCACGGATGAGGTGAAGGAAAAACCAAGAAAGTGGATCTCCGAGAAATCTCATCAACGCACTCCATGTCAATGCTAAGAGGAATCTTCAGCCCTTAATTCTTCAGCCCAATCCTTCAGCCCTTAATTCCCCGGTCGAAAATCCGGCCCGAAGACAAACGAGGATGTCAGGGGAGGTGGATTGCTCTCTCTGTCCATGGCCCCAGAGAGGCCATCGCAATAAAAACAGCCTTTTTTGCATATTGTATCGTGGGGCAAAGACTACCGAGAGAAGGCAGTGTTGCCAAAACAAACCCAGTGTTGCCAAAAAGTAGCTTCGTTCTTTGTGCGCCTCTCGAATCTAGTTCCGTTTATTCCTTCATTTCCGATTTGAACAGACAAAAATACACTCCGATGTTCAAAGTTCTGTTTAAAATATGATTTAAAATATTAATAATAAAGGTGATTGTTAACGAAAGCGCGAGGTCCCTTTTTGGCAACCCTGCATCTTCCGACCTGGGAGATTCGTGATGCCAGACACGCAAGCCCGTCCTCATATTTACTAAACCGGGTTTTCGATCTCGTCCTCATTAAACTCGTTCGAGGAAAGTGACGCTATCGCTCTTCGCCGATACACCTGATCCGGTGCCGATACATTCGATTCCCCGCCGAAGTATCAGATCGCCGAACTTGGTCATCCCGCGTTTAAATCTCATTAACCTCTCTCGACCGACGATTGCGGCCGATGGAAACGGCTGATCTAACGCTGCTAACGCTGCTGCAAACGCTGGATCGGGCAGGCTCGCATCGATCCCCGGGTCCCCCATTTCCTCATGATAATCATCGCAGCCCCATAGTTACACGCTAGGTTTCTCTTCGAGGATATGGTCCACCCCTCATCCTCATCCTCATTCTCATCCTTATCCTTATCCTTATCCTTATCCTTATTCCAGGGAATTCTTATTCCCTTCCCCTCTATGTTTGAGCCATATTCCCCTTCCCCCCCTCCCGAATGGCCGCTCTCTGCCACGGATCACCGAGCCTCATAAGCCTCATTCCCCAGCCCCATCTTTCCTCGATACCATCCCGTACCATCTTTTCATACAAAAAAAATGATAATGTGCAGCCTGAGAGGCCCGGACCCGCCCGACCGCTTTGTCCTGCCGACCTTCGAAGGGGCGTGAAGGGCAATCAACGGCGACGGTCCTTTAATCAAGGATTTGGCAAGGACTCTCCTTGTTTCCATCGTTCTTCATGACAGGTCGATGTCGGAACTTTCAGGTTGTTGAGGGCAATACGGTGCATTGAGGGCAATATGGTACATTGAGGGCAATACGGTGCATTGAGGACAACATTTGTTGGGGTTTTGCAGGGCATTTGGCCGGATACTGTGCTGCTGCTGCTCGAGACGATGGACGCGGAGCCGGCAAAGATGGAGATCGACCCGATCCACGGTATGATATATATATATATTTTTTTTTTTTTTTTCCCCCCCCTCTCCCTCTTTTTTTTTTCTTGTTTCTTCCCTTTTTTATTGTTTTCTTTTTGTATCGCGAGAGGAAAGAATCCTTTGTTGATTCGGCCGATGACCCGTCATCATCATCATCATCAGGGGAGGAGAAATAACATTCGGCCTTTTGTTATCTCTCTAACCCCCACGTCCCGCGGTATCAATGAAATATATATATATAAATAAAAGCCGGAAAGACAGACGGAAAATGGTGAAAGGAAGAAGAGAGGCAGCGAATCTTCATTATCTACCTGAATTTCATGACTTCATTTGCGCAAATTCCCGGCTCGTTCAATCCTAAGCAATTGCTTAAATTGCGCTTCAGCGGACGCGTGCCAAGAGACCTCGGGGAACCCTGAATTGTATTATGGTATTAATTAATTAATTATTATTCAGGTATTCGCGGAGGAAGTACTTTCATTCTGACGTCACGAATGACGTCATTCGGCGCCTGTACAAGCCGACCTGAGTTTCATTGCCCAGAGATTTGCCCTGTTTGCTTTCCATTATCGCGAGGAAACATGGAAAAAAGCAGATAAGCCGGGATGAAGCGGATAAGCCGGGATGAGCTGGACGAACACGGTATTGTTACAGCGCGGTTTTCTCCGCGGTTTCTATTTCGGGGGAGTCGGTGCTTCTCACTGAGCCGAAAATAAATGCGGATCGGATTTCTGCAGCGGAAGTTCAACGTACTTCGATACGGGCGGCTATAAGGATAATCTCGGGATACGCCGGATTATTTTTATCCCCGGTCAGAGAAGGAGAAGCGAATGGAAGCGACAGATCGCTGATGATCAGGATCGATCCGGAGTCCCTGATTTCCTTCGGGATTCAGGGGAAGTTGGTAGGAAAAATAAACTGACCTGGAGGAGAAAAAGAAAATATTGCCCTGGGATGGATTGTCCTGGGATGTTGCATGCCGCTGGGCTTCCGGGATCGGCATCCAGTCGCTGTTGGTGCTTTCTGGGTGTGAACTGGCAATCGTCTTGACCTGTTATTTCGCCTTCCTGGGAGATGATTGGTTCCGGGGCGGCCGATTGGTTCATGGGAAGCCGATTGGTTCATGGGAAGCCGATTGGCTCATTGGGCCGCTGATGGACTTGGAGCAATTTGACCTCTTCGATGTATCTGAAAATATAAAAATATTGTAAGAAAAAAAAGCTTAACACCTAATTTCTGGCTGAATGGTGTCTTCGACTTTCGCCCCCGAGATCTAATTGATAGATAGTTGCTAAATTTTCCCTTTTATCACATCTCTCGATCAACGTGGGCGATAGTTCGCAGGGGGCGACTTTCCAAACGTTGATTTCGTGACTGATAACCACGTCTGCCACAACCCTTTAAAAGGGTCGAGGCAGACGTAGGGTTAAATCCCAGTTTCACTTTCTCACCCTGAGTGAGACGGATACTGAAAATGACGGAGTGGATAGAAACTCGTGTCCCTCGTGGATTTAGAAATCATTGGTATTATGAAGAAGGATCATATGAAGAATCTTTTGTAGCAGTCAAATGATGGTATGAAATGCACAAATTAGGTCATACAGCTAAAAGAAAATTGCATATGAACGAACCGCTTCCGAAGAAACAGAAAGTCTGCCCAAATGACACCACATAATAGAGGGCTGTATCATATTTTTTCAGATCAATTTTGTATGCCCGAAATAGGAGTATAAATTCTGGAGACGGTGAATCCGAGCCTCTCAATCCCTGTATTTTTTTTTTTTCCTTATCCTGCTACCCTCAGTCTCCAGCATGACCAGCCGTCCATGTGCGATTCTTCCTTCTGAATCGAAGCCACGAGTTCAAACATGTTTAGGTTGCACTTCTGGGCATGTATCAGTATCCGCCTTAGAAACCGGGAGTTGATCTTGCCTTCCCTTTTTATGGGTTGAGGCCGATATGGGTATCAGACACGGAAATCAAGCGTGGAAAGTCGCCCCCGTGCACTTTCTCTCCAACCGTGTGTAGGTCAAAGATTAAATCACATCTTGTGATTCCTGTCAAACGGAATGCGGGGGCGAGATTCCACTGGGGCGAGAGTGGAAGTAACCGGCTGAATTATAAAAAAATTCCTCCTTTTCTATAGCTGAGACCCCCAACAACCAAATCCGGTATTTGTTTTAGTTCAATTCAGAATACGCCAAAGACTAGTCCTGGATTTCCTCGTAACTATGGTTTTTCCCTCGTCGAAATCGCCCCAATAGTGGAGGAGATCGAAGTGGTGGAAGCCAGGAAAGGTGTGGTAGCATTGAACCGCAGAGTCACACAAAACACAATCCGCGACCTTTCTCTCCTCTCTCTTTCTCCTTTTTCTCCTCTCTTGCAAGTCCATACTGTAGAAGTTCCGAGAAGCGCGAACAAAAAGTTGTCTGGAAGAGAGGAGGCAAGAAACCTTGAAGGCATGAATCACGTGCCTCCGTCGACTTTTTTCCTCATTCGGCGACGGTCTACAGGAGAAAACTTAGAACCTCTTCCAGAAGTTTGTGTGGTTTCTCCAAGATGACGTGGAAGCCATTCATAAGCGATGGCTCTTCAGATTCCTGAAAAGAAGCTGAATATTTTAACGCATGTAGAATAACCATAGAATAACCCGTATTCCGGATCTCGTTCGTTTTGGGTCAACTATCTGCCCCGGTCTGATTTAGCCGGAGATTGGCTGTTATAATTCCAAGATGTCAAGTTGATGTCATTTGAGTAATGAGAGCCAAAAGCAGAAATGAGGTCGCCGCATCCTAAACTGAAAAGTGCATGACAGTTTAGGACGTGAAAGTCTGGCCGTGATTAACGGTCCACTCTGCATGTGGTCGACTCGATTAGGGCGACCGCTCTTGTCGTCTCTCTTCATCTCGTCGTGTCTCATCGGCATGTCGTTTCTCATCATCTTGTCGTTTCTCATCGTCATGTCGGTTCTGCGATGTGCATCGTGACAGCTTCATCTCCGGAACGATTTCCACCAAAAAACTTGCGAAATTGGAAATTTTCCAAGGATTTAGTGGAAAAACATTGCCTAACCATCGATGGGGAGCCCACGGGTGATATTTCGGTGGGAAGGCATGAGCCGCTTACGAGAAATCCCATTACCCTAAGACGGGAATTGTCCCGAAAAATTATTTCATGAGATTCTTGCAAAATCTGCTGGTGAAATGCAATCGATTCATTTTTGCGCAGATCTGGCAGGTGCAGAATCCGTTTCCGATATTGTGCATCTCGAGCTAGTCTGCATCTTCACAAAATTTTACTCAAATTTGACGGCTCGCGCGTTCCTCGATGGGAATCCGAAAGTCCACGGAGCCCCCATAGAGAGCAACAGACTGCGACAGAAGCGGCAATCCAAGAAGAAAGCCGAACTGTCAAGAAACTGAAGCGGATCTAATGCACGCAATCCCCCGGGTGCCTGAGAAATGAAAGCGCGGTTGTCTCCCGGTCCTTTTCGCACCGAGATTCATGATTCTCATAAGTCCCGAGACGCATTTCTTCCTTTGTTACGGGCGCTGCGGGGTCTCCAAGGCTTCATGGCTCCCATTTTTCCCTCTGACTTGTACGCAGATTATTATCGCGTAATCCGCATACGAGGTTCGTATCGATTCGGGGCAATCCGAGCGCGATCTCGCCGGATGCGCCTGGCACGAGCCTTGAGTCTTGTCTCGTGCCCTCGAGGTCCGGTACCCTCGAGGTCCGGCACTCTCGAGGTCATCATCGAAGGCTCATGTTATCGTGAATTGGTGAATTATGGAAAACTCATCAAAATCAAATGTACAGTATTTGATCATGGCTTTCGTATCTTACCGCCAGAAATATTAACATGCAATGGTTAATTATAATAAATAATATAAAATAAATGCGATAATAATAATCGGTCAAGCTGCAGTGCAGGCAGAGACATTAACATAAGAATTACTCGTAAAAATAATATTATAAAAAAAATTAAGAATTAACCATTTACAAACAATTTTGACACATGACTCTGCAGAATATCTGCGTCAAAGACATTTGGCGAAGTGAGAAATGTGCACAAATGCTACATATGATATTGGTATTATTAGCAACCGTTCTCTGAAACAAATTTACCACGGTTGGTGGTACTCCGGATTGAAGACAGATCCGGGAATTTCTCTATAAACCTGAAACTCTGACGGAACAGGCATTGCGATGGAGGGAATCTAACGGTAGTCTTTGTTCGAAAATCGACTTAGAATCTCTAGAGACATGGTTATCGCTCTCGGGGCTAGAAAGGCAAAAAGTTTTACCAGACAGTGGACTGGGTCATGGCTTTAACAGTAAGCGCGACGACAGAGTTCGCCTTCGTTGCAGGACCTCCTCCTCCTGCTCGGCATCCCCGATTGCTTAAAGAGCGCACGGTCAACAAAGTGGAGGGCGGGTCGCATGCATGCTATTGGAATTTTGTCCAGTAGCTGTCGATAGGCATGAGCGTGGTGGTAAGATAGGTCAACTTCCGGTGAGTAGGAGGACTGCTCGAAACAGAGTAAACTACACACCAATAGCTTTCTTGGATGAAGTCCTTCGAGACTATATATGTTACTCCACTTGTTCCGGATTGCCGGATCTGGCAAGGAGTGAGATTGCCACCGAAATTGTCTGCTACATTTCACTCAGAGAATGATTGTTAAGGAAGAAACGCATAAATATTATTTCTATTTCTGCTGAGCGGAAATTGGCGATCTTCCACAGGGGAGACGTCTCAAATCGGTGCAAATTTTCTGCCACCCGCGACAAGGCGTCGAAAAATGTCGACGACACTTTGCAAATTTTTAATGGCGAGCGGAAGCGCACGAAAGGCGAACGTGCCTCGCAGTGAGGCACGTGGATTTTGCACGCTTATGATGGAGTGTTGATCCTTGAGACAAAAAAAAAATTTTGCACCAACGCCACCAAAATTTGGCAGCTGCTACCGACTTCAGCAGTCCACGAACTGCATCTCATCCGCGACGATATTGACATTCAAGATCACCAAGAAACACAAAACGTTGAATCAACAACGACTCGATGCTGATTCAACGTTGACTCCATCCAGGATCAATGTTGACTCAACCTTCCGCCCCACCCGAATCCCTTAATCTTGACCAGTTTTCTCACGCCCACAATTTAACAAACAATTCCGTGCAAAACTAATAACTATTCCCGTTCCGTTCCAGTTCTACCACAACTGCAGCAGCGGCGGCGGCTACAGCACCGTGTCCGGCCCGGGCCTGCTCCAGCCGATGTCCTCCCTCCCCATTCCATCCAATTCCTCCTCCATCACGCCCACATTCACAAGGGATATTTCGGAGGATTTCTCCTCTCATCTGTGAAAAACGAATAAATAAATTTGTCTGTGGTTCCCCCCACCCTCGGATTTTTTTTTTGTATTCCGGGAACGAAGGGGAGGACATGCCACGACCGTTCCCTCGAGGGTCGTCTTTTTACGACCCGGAAACCCATTTTCGATATCATCAGGGACACGTTCGACCAATGAATGAGATCCACATAAGAAATATAGCGGGGGCTTACGATATGAGGCTGGCGCCCTTTTTTCCATCTTCTCGTCGGAATCCTTCTCGTTTTCCCTCTTTCTCTCGACGCTGGATCTCTGATGAGCTCCGAGACTCTGTAACGAAATGGTCCAACATTAAGGGATTTCTGGAATTGATATTGCAAATCGACGAAGAATTTATTTATGCTGATGGAATGCGTCAGACTTGAGATACTTAGAATGGGAAAAGCAAAATGGAAAAACAAAAAAATATAAAAAATCTGATTTTATTCCTACTCACATACACATAAATAATTTTTAAAACGAAGCGACTGACAAATTTAAAGAGTCACGACTCCGAGAAAGGAATCGGGCCAACGGGGACCCCGGACAACCGGACAAGAAGACTTAATCGTATCCGGCCTGCCCGGCTGAAACGATGCAAGGCGAATGAGAGGACGATCGATCGATGACTGGACGAGGCTCGCTTCCGATCGCCTTCCGGTGCGAGCGGTCACGTGACGAACTCCGCGGTCACGTGATGAGCTTCGGAGTCACGTGACGATTCTGTGCGGATGCAGACGGAAAGCATCCATCCTTTCTTCGTATTTACTCAGTACTTATCTTGTATCATCGTTCCATTAAGCATATAAGAGAAAACTTTGAGCTCTCCCTGATGCTAAAAGCGAATACTTGCACCAACGAACTGCTCCATCCCAGGAAATAAACCGACGTAATCAGATCACTCGGTATAAAAACTTCATAAGGTCTGGGGATTACGACGCTCAGAAACTCCCATCTCGTGAATGAAGATTCTCCTGCTACGAAACGCTTTTATGAATAAAGAGCCGGAAAGTCCAGGAAAATAATTTAACTGCTGCCTGCTAATTCTGCTGTAGCAGACGTAGCAAGCAGCACTTCATCTAAAACCCTGTCAAGTGGATAAACGAAGCAAATCCTTCGTCATCAACGAGATAATCGAGATCCGGCGAAGGACCTTGCCCCAGAAATCTCCGATGGACCGTCTCGCAAGGTCCATCAATCCTAATAGACATCGATTAGGCGGAGGCTGATCGTCACTCGACTGGTCTGCGATGGGCTCTACGTCCATGGACTCTACGTCAATGGGCTCTACGTTGAGAACCGTCGCTGTGGCCAGCAGCCGCCTCGACTTCGGCTTCATCACGCGTTCGTCGATGAGGTTTTAAAGATTTTGACGGCTCCGCGCTATGGGGGAATGATGAGGTCTCCTTCCCACCTGACAAACTACGGTAGATTTATCCTTGTATATAATTCATTCTTTTTTTTCCATTAAACAAAAAACCGCACTTGCTCCAAGAAAGAAGAAGTGATGGATGAGGTTGGAGAAAGGAGCCGACAGAGGAGAAAGGGGTATTAAAAAAGGTGCTAAATGGGACCTCATCGGATGGAGCGAAGGAGATGGAATGCTAGGTCAGGGTTGCCAGGTGGAACATGGAATGTTAGGTCAGGGTTGCCAGGTGGATCCAGTCAGTTCAAGTTCAGTGGGTCATGCGTTTCCGCGGAAGGACGAAAATACCTCACCTGAACATGTGGCAACCCTGTTTTTCCACGAATAAGTCTTCAATATGCCAGCTGGATTAATCAGATATTAATCGCCTTACCTCCCCTTTCGGCTTGTCATCAAAGAGGCTTATTTGGGGGGAATAGAACGAACAATGAAAGCTTCAGCCTCGGAAAAAAAAATTTTTCTTTTCAGCTTCACCCTCCGCAGATAAACAATTCATCGGATGCAAAACTTTAGTTATTAATATGACAAGAGTGAAAATGCAAATCCTTATTAGGGATGACATCAATGGAGAGTTTACAGTTGTTGAAGCACCAAATTAACCATATAATAAACAGGTTCCGGTAAGAATTTTTGCGACAAATCCCGACGGCGTCGCAAAAAAATGCTGGATCCAAGAGGTTGGAGCCTGATTGTGGGTCTGGCTCTTCTTCGGCAGATGCAGATCCGAGTCTGATAAAAGACAGGATCACCCAAGGGATCTAACCTGACAGGCCCTCCCAGAGCGGGAAAAGAACCAGAAGAGTAATGGATGAAATCACAATGGGGTCTTAATCCAGTGTGGAAAGTGAATGCCTCAGAGAGAGAGAGAGAGAGAGAGAGACAATCGAATGGGGTAATACTCGACTCGCTGGAGTGGTTCCAGTCAGACCGAAAGATCAAGGTCATACGATATTCAACAATAATGTACAAATACAGAAGTTTGAAGCCTCTTCTAAAAGCCATGTCGCACGTCAGCGTTTCATGTTGGCCCAATGTGGGCTTCCAACGTTGACCCCATGTGGGTGTGCTGCCTGGGGAGTTGAGGAACGGCTCTCACCCATTAATCATTTATAAACTAATTTAAGAAAAAATAAATTTAATGTGAAGAAGAATCATCGCCGCCATCCCACCGAAGCCGCTGATCGCTTCTTTCTCGAACGCTATGAACGAAATAATCTCATCTCGCAATTCGGTAACCTCAACTTCCGCATTAGCGCTTTAGAGACGTCAGATAGCATTAGGACGCCGCTGAAAGGACGCAGCCAGCCCTTAAACGAGATGTGTCGACTCAATGGGAATCTGTTGCAGAAAGCGATTCGAATCCCACTCCAACCCAACTGCCGCGACCGCAAATCTTTCGATTTGGGCTGATTCGATTTAGACTCTCGATTTATGGTGATTCTTTCAATTTAGAGTCGCCTTTCGTTCCCTTATCCGCCAGCCTCATCGAGAAAGCAGTTGAATATTACTTTTATCCATTGTGATAAACATAAAATTTTAAATTTTGATGTCGAACCATTAAAATGTAGCAATATTAGGGTCAACCATCTTCGCCTGATAAATGTTATCTTATGTTGCAAGCCAAAAAAAAAAAAACACAACGAAAAAGTATTATTTATTCTAAAAAATGCATCGCAAAATAAACAAGGCGAATCGGTTGTGGAGTCCATTACGAAACCGGATAGTCTCGCGATGATTAATGCCATTTTTGCCATCGGACTGCAGCCCGTCCAACCGTAAAGCTTCTTTCTCTTTATCTTCTTGGATTCAGTTTCCTTTTCTTTCTGTCTTTATCTCTTTTTTTTTTAAATAAATAAAAAATAATATTTATTTTAAAAATAAATCGCAGAAGCACTATTATTTCTCTTCCGAAAGGGGCAGAATTTCTTGCCTTGTCATTGGGTTGCTTGAAGCTCCATGCAGTTCTCGGAATCGTCTCACAATAAGGTTTAATAAAGTTAATTACTGAATTAATTAATACGAACAATGATCCCTTGATCGAGAGCTCCAGAATAACCCGGTTTAATTTTACTGCAGAATAAATATTCTTGTTTAAATAATAGGTTTAGGTTTCCGGGAAACCTCGAACACAAGACGTTCTGCCTAATTTCTGCAAATTTCCTTGATTTTTAGCTTAAAAAAATTAAATTTAATTAAATTTAGTTTTAAAAATAACATTATAATAAATAAGTCAATCAATCAAGCACGCATGAAAATTTAGAAAACACGATTATATTTAGTGAAAGTCTCAGCTCGAACACGAAATGAAAACTCAGTTGGAGTCGATTCGGTCCCAGAAATGAAGACGTGTCGTTTTTGGTCGATTTCGGTCAATCGTGTCGGCGAATAAAGGGGAATGCGGGGAGAAAGAGGCATTGGAGACGTCGAGGGTGCTGGACTTCGTATGAATCGTATTCGACATTTTGATTGATGAAAGCGTTGCCGATTGTGAGGACGAGGCCTTTTATTCTGGGTTTTGGATCGGGGGGGGGGGGGGGGGGGGGGGGGGGGGGGGGGGGGGGGAAGGAACTGTTAATTCCTGCATTGTGTGGTGGAGGTCGGAGCGGGACGAGGCGGGCAGGGGGAGACAACAGAAGAAACAAGCTTGGCGTGGCCAGACCGGTAGATAAAAAAGGCTCCATCGGGCCACTTTGCAGCAGGTGCAAGTTTCCTCCATAATGGCGTTAATGGGTAGAGACGGTTGAAAAGGTTTCCCGCGCACATCTCCAGTCCGATTCTGGGGACGACCTCGAAAAAAGACGTTTCTCTGTAATGGAGGGACCAGGTTCCTTCCGGAAAGGCGATTTCTCTTCTTTTTTTGCAGTTCTTTGGTTCTCCTGTGGAGCTTCGAGAAAAGAACGGCTATTCTTCGGTCACGGTGCCAAGCATTTGGAATCGTAGTCTGGACAATGCCCGAAGTTTACTTAATTGACTTCCTTCCAGTGATGCAGAAATAAAGGCGGGATACTTGCCTCGTGAGATATGAGTCTATACGAGTCTATACGAGTCTATTCTGTGGTGCTTTCGAGTAGAAAGGCTGAGCTTCCACCCGGCGGAGCGTCCACTCACGCGTGCACAGACGGCGTGAGCGAGGCACACAACTCGCCTTAAGCGAGCGATCAGATTGTCCCGATTCCACGATTTCGCGCTTGGCCAGATTCTCATCCTGTATGGTAAAAGCACATCAAGACGGTACTGATCTGCAGAGTCACCAGGACCAGGAGACAGGAAGCCAGTGATCAGTCTGTGCAGGGCAATATTGCCACCATTTAGAACGAATGGGGCGGAACGGAAGGAAAGAGAACCATTCCCTTCAATGTCCGGCGATAGCAAAAGTAGGAACCTTGGAAAAGGTTTTCCACACTTCTGCATGGACACAATGAAACAACTGTTTTCCCTGTTTGCTTTTTTCCTTTTTTGAAAAAAAAAAAGGGATTTACTCTTTCACTCAGGTTGAGTACGAAATGCCCATTCAAGATAATCGCCGAACCGGAAATTAATTAAAAACGAGCATCCCCCCCCCCACCCAACATTTCCTCCCCTCAACCCCCGCCTTTGAATCCCTCCCCAAAACCATTAAGAACTTCGCTCGCCCCCCCCCCTCCCCCCTCTCCCCAAAAAAAAAGTTGGCTTCAATCCCGAAGTTCCCCCGTCGAGGCAACAAGTGTCCATTTTCCCCTTCCCGCAGGGCTTCCATCGAAGTCCATCTCCCTGCGTTGATCGATATTGGAAAGAAAACGCCAGTCGGAGAAGCTTCTTATCGCCTCATTCTCTGGGTGATCTCCCAAGAAACCATTTACATTTGCGGATTATTTTACATATTATTTAATTTACATGCTTTACAATTTACATATTATTTCATTTACATGCTTTACAATTTACATATTATTTCATTTACATGCTTTACAATTTACATATTATTTCATTTACATGCTTTACAATTTACATATTATTTAATTTAAATATTTAAATTACATATTCCATTTACACCGCATCGCATTTACATTTCATCACAATCAACATTACATCCTTTTCTGGAACGGAAGAGACCAATTTTTCAAACCCCCGGCAAGGCCTAAGATCCTGCAGGCGTGGGCGTTGAAACATCGAGTGGCCAACATGTTATTAGGCGCGGAGAGGAAACCGAGATTGCAGCGGGAACTGATGACGCTCCCATTCCGCGGGGAGGATTTCCCGGAGGAAGGATCCCCGGGAGCGCGGGGGGGGAGGATTCCTGGGAGCGCGGGGGTACCTGCCCGCTTTAATATGCAGCGTTGCCATTACGGGAGCTCATTTTTCTTCGCTTCTTCCGCCTCTTCGCTTCCCACGGACCTTCGCGCTGCCGAGATGGGATTCCGGCAAAGTAAAAAAAAAAAAAAAAAAAAAAAAAGTTTCCATTTCCTCCGATTTTCCTCGACTCTTCCTGTCTGGAGTTGGCTGAGAACATCCTCCAGGCCAATTTTCCCAGGCTAATGGAATCCAATTGCCCTGGGAGATCGCCTCGTGATGGGATATCGGGTAAAAGTTTCCGTTCCGTAATATGTCCTATAAACATCATCGGTTAATGCCGGCATGATTAATGGGTCGCGACTCCGTCGTCGAAGTTTCCCCGTTAATTGCTCGTTAATTGCCCCGACGAGGACTTGGCTCCGAGAGACTCCCGATCCATCAGCCTTCGGAAGGGGAAACAGAAAAAAAAAAGAAGCGGGAAAAAATGAGTCGCATTAGAAATGGCAAAGGAAGCGAGACGGTCCCGAAGTATGGCAAAATGGCGAAGATAGATATTTTTTTCGGCGGGTGCATTAGGGCCGGGGATTTGTCCTTGTCGAAGAATAAGCGGGAGATATCCGCTCCTTCAGCGGCGGGGATAATTGACGGCCGAATATCTTGCATAAAAGCTTTTCATTCCGTCTTTTTTTTTTTTTGCATCCTCTTAATATCTCTGAGAGCTGATTATTGCGATCCGCGCGCGATGAATGTCGCCATTGAAAGGGGGGGCTCGAGGGAAATCCCGTCTTTCCCCCCCCCCCCCCCCCCCCCCCCCCCCCCC